CATCGAAAATGCAGCCGCCACCACATGGATTCGGTCCTCTGACCTGCGGGTCAGCAGCTGAGTACCTTAGCCACTAGACCACCGCGGCGGGGCAAGCGTGTAAACTTGGGCAAGTTGGTAAGACATAACTGAATACAGGAACAGCGCAACTTAAAAGTATACTTACAGAGTAACTACGGAAGCGAAGAAACAAGGACAGAAAAGAGCGCTGGTTTTCAACGATGATTCAATAGCGGAGTGGTGTACATATATAGGCGGAAAAAAAGAAGAGAATAGGCATGCGTAGAAGGGTGCAGTTTAAAACCATTGCGAAACAATGTCAGCAAAAATCTTGTCTCTTGCTGATTGAACAAATACATAGCTTAAAAATTAATGAGATATGCAATCTCTTTCTGTAATAGCACAACTGATGGGGAACTTACACATGTACCATCAAACTTACTAGTGTGATAGGCTTCAGTTATCTCACGCGTGGGCTGTGAGTGGTGTTTGTCTATTACCTTGCAACGCTCAAAGAGGGGCACGCAGCCGCAGTCTCAGCAGTGGATTACGAGGCGTCATTGAACAGCATTGTGCACATTATTGTGCTCTCTTAAGCGGTCATTCAAGCACCTTCCAGTTTTCTTTATGTATATCATACCGCAGGATAGCGGAATAAGTAATACGACACCAAAAAAAAAAAACGCAAGGCACGAAGCGCATTCTGTGTTTCACAGAGCATTTTACTCTATTTTCAGCTGGATGATTGACTAACTTACACATCGTTGACTCTTATCTCTCCTTAATATTGTGCCTAACAAAGCAAAACTAGCTTTTAAATCAACACTTCCTTCAACACATGACACGCGTCATGTTAATGTGTCTACGTGCACGAGAGAGTTCTTTCGCGCGTTCTTGAACTCCCGACAGCTAATCGTTGGTTGCTATGAATACCTTACCTATTTCTCGTGTTTCTTTGTATTCTAGAAGCAACCTGATCCCTTCCCCTCAGAGCTTAGCTTTAGACATCAGTGCTTTGGAATATACCTTAATATCTCCATTTTTCAGGTGACATCTCCCCTCACCTCCACCCTGCATGGTGTCGATTCGAACGGCCACTTCTCATCGAACGCTCCAAAGACAAGCGCTTTCTGTCGTTCGCATTCGGAGAGCAGAAACGGCGCCATATCACAAACGAAAGGAAAGATGGCGCTACAAGTCTCGCGGTGTTGGTGTTGGATGTTCTGCCGTCTTATCCAAAATGACCTCAGCAATTTATTTTTCTTTTTTGTTTTTCCACATTCGCTACGCAGCGTTAAACACACGCCAGAGCTGCCAGTTCTGCATAAAATGAGCAAAACGGGGCTTCTTTTCTTTTTGCAGAGTCGCTTGTTGAATTTTCCAGTCGCTTGTCACGTTTTCTTGGGCTTATTTTCCCTTCTTTAGTATAAATAGTTATTTCAGTGTTAATCACGTTCATCCATAGTGCCTTGGTCGTACATAATAGCGCATTTGTCAATGTCTTTGAGTTGTCGAGAGTCGAAGTGTTAGATACCTAGGGGCAGTCAACAAGTATAGCATTATTCATGCATGGGCAAACATGCCTTCATCCGAATGGAGACTACCTTGGAGAAAATGTTCAAAACTTAATATGTGTTTTCCTTCATAGTTGCGCATGTCTTCGCTTTACAAAACAAATAAAAGAAAACTTTCAACTACCCTTCGTACTTGAGCGACATTTCCTTTGTTGATTTGTAGAAAATATTTTCAAGGGGAAAATTCATGTTGTTTTCACTTTTTGGGGGGGATTTTTTTGTGATGAATATTTGAATGTTAGCTCGGTAGGTTGTGGAAACGCTGCCGCATGCCCTCTTACACGCTTATCAGAGTAAACGTATTTTGAAATAAGGCTAGCCGAAGTAAATATTCTGATTTATGACCATAAAGAAATGGGAAAGATAAAGAAAAGGTAGTTAGCTCCTTGCTTTTGTTTCAAGTTCTGGTGTTTTGCATGCAATCACTGCAGTCTATTATAAGGTGTAATGGCCACATCAGAGGGAATAATTCTGACCACCTCCACTTTTTCGATTTTCACCACTGATTTCACCTAATGTTTGGTACGCGAGCGCTCTCGCGCTTAGCTAGCACTGTAGCGCCGTCGCTGAGATACGGCTCGAACCCAAGTCCTCGTGCTCAGCAGCGCAATGCCATAGCCTCCTTGACAGTTTGTATATGTACACGCACAGATACAAACACCGGTACAAACGCACCTATGGTGTGGTTTAGCCTGCCTTCCACTGAAAGAAAATGTCTGAATCTGGTACTGCTCTGCAGTACCAGAATTCCAGTCGATTTCGAATGAGCGTCGTTTTCGAACAGTGCCTGACAACGCAATGATCGAAATATTTCAGTAGGAAATGCTCTCCACTGCAGCGAGTCGCACTTACCAGCAGTTTCATTATTATTTGTATTCTGGGTACACCGGTAGTCGAGCACAGGTAACCTGAAGCATAGCCCGTTATACTGGCTTCTGTTCTTTTCGGGCTAGATCCATCGCGGCTCCTCGGTGTTACCTCTTACCTGAATCGAGTTTGTGTGAATGTGATGAACGCAGGTGCTTTATCAGAGGTCAGAATTTGGTTGAGCTAGTTACTCATCCCTGGCTAGCTTCTCACGCAAACGTATAGCACTTCTGCTCCTCTTGACGTACACAGCTTCCACGGACGAAAGCGTCTCAAATTTAATATTTTCGAGTGCGATTTACGCATGACCTCCCTCAGGTGAAATATATAGTATGATTGAAATGACTTTCTGCAAACGTTATTGAAATATAGGAACCTGCTCTGGAATTTTAGGGTTAAAAAATAAGCCTTCATTTTTAATTTCATTTTTTTTTCTGGCACGATAAAAAAATAGCGAAGCTTGCACTGAGCCAGGCAAGGTTTGAAACGATAAAACTGGACGATGCTTAAGACTAGTCTGGTTACTCCCATGTTGTTTCTGGCCTCAGTTAGTGGTCGCTCGGTTGTTTCTACATTGATTTTCGGAGCACAAAAGGTTCCAGTTAAACCACAGGCAGTCATAGACACCAAACGGATCTCTGAACTCCAAGGGCAGTAACTCGCTCTTAAAGCAAGCTTTCGTACCTCTCCTAGATTTACACGGGCACGCCGTGGTTCGTGTCAGCAGTCTATCGCTCCAGGCTCTTCTAGAAGCCACCATTGTCCTTACCATTTCCTAGCATTCTCTCGTTGCACGTACTCGCGGTCTGACCCAACACATCGTCCTTGATGAAACATGGCCACGGATGTACGATTGTGTTGGTTCATAACTGCAACTTATCCGCCATGGAGTATATTTTTTTTACTTTTCAATAGATCATTTTCTTAGTGGCAGTGTTCTTGCGACTTCTAGATCTTAGCATATGGGTAACTAGACGTTGCACGCTTCGGTATCACTTCTCGGTGCTGCGCGAGCCATCAGCGTTGTTACGCCTGAGAGTCAAGACCGAACGTCATTGCCTCTGCAAAGGCAATCTGTGTCAAGGCCAGTGAGCGAGCCCGCCTGACGCCATCATCTCAACGACGTCACCTAACCCGGCGGCGCTGGTTTGTCTTACGCAACGCAAGATGAGCTCCCTCAAGCCACGGCCTGATAGCAGCCCGATACTGCAATCGGCGCCATTCCGTCTGGCGAGTCTTACGCAATGCGTGGCAACATCACTCGCTCATGGGTGCAACCGAGCGGCGTTTCTTACTGGAAGAATCTGCCATCACGGCCAGCGGCGGTTCTGATTGGACGTTGCTGACGTAAGGATCACCCGGGGCCTGTAAAAAAAGCCAAGCGGCGCGTCGCCAAGCAGCCGACGTATGCGTCAGAGAGAAGACAGTGTTAGAGGTTCCAAAGACACCTCGGCTCTTCGAGTCCCTAAGCTGTCGGCCCCAGTGCCGAATATGTAGCACCTCTATTTCTATGCTGTACATAAACCTTGCGTTCACTCACCGTCGTCTTGTCCGCTCGTCTATCAGCTCTGCGCAGAAGCAGCCGGGAGCTCAGAAACGCACTACTGAACAACCTTGGCGGCCCATGTCCTCGGCGCTCTACGCAACAGTGTCGGCGGTGGTGCGAGTCGTAACACCGTATACAGCTCCATGTTGTCAAGTGCACTGTAGTAGCATTCGTTTTTCTCGTAGACTCGGTAGTAAATTGTTTATATATGCGAGGACAAAGCTGCTTATGTTACCGTCTAAATGTTCCTCGTTTCCGCACAAGCGGGTCAAAAATATGTGTGTCGCTTGATGCAAAAATTATTTTCATGCACCTGTCTCGGTCAGTAACCAGTGATGGTAACAGGTCACTGTGCTACTTAGCGTAATTTTACTAGGACTACCTCAGTATTAAATTTACGACCATGAGTGGACAAAAATTAACTTTTTTGCAACTTTGTCACCAACTGTACACACTATATATTTCATGTTATTTACGTCTCTTTTTTTTTTACAACAGTAAACTCTCTGACATCCAATTAGTATAAGCTATCACGTTTCGCTCAATATTACATGTATATTAAAAATCTCGAACTTGGATCATAATATCCACATATAAGGCAGCATAAAAAACTACGAAGGCTTGAAAATTTGTAAAACTGATTATTTAAAGTAAGAATCCTGCCATCGTGGACAGGTAAAAATTTGTCCTATCCTAATTTTGGAAAGACAATTTTTGACAACGCGTTTTACGAGCCATGGTTTCTAATCTTTATGAAAGAATTCACATGCGGCTTGCTGTAATGAAAGAAATTTTACAAAAATATTTCGGATGAGGACTTCTATGTTTAGATAGATAGTCTTATGTTTCTTTTTTTTTTTATTCAAGCAAATCGCAGATGGTTGAGCATCAAAGTTGCGTAGAATGAGCTCCGAGATGACACTCCTGTTTCCGTCACCCAAGAGTTTTTAACTTAGTTCGAATCAAAATCTCCGTTGATGAAAGCGGACATTGCACCCATGGAGCAGCCGAAACAAGGTTGTAATTGTTTATTTGACGTTTGCTCATAAAATGGATTGCAAATACTGATCCCTAAGCTGCCGGCGGAGATATTTTCCCGATTCAGACTTCGGCAATTCTTCCATAAATTGCACACCCCCATGGAGGTGCTTGTGGGGCGCCGAAGATTCTGGTGAAAAAGAGAGAAACAAACAAATGCAAAGTGCGTATCAATTTACACGTTTATCATGCCTATTTTCTAAGTGTTTTTCAAGGCCAGGAATTGATGCAGACAGCTGTCGAATAACATGCTCAAACATGGTAGTTTCTACATTTGCAAAATTATTCAGTAATTAGGAAATGAACAAACCTAATTATTAGAGTGCTGCGAATCCCTGTGCATACTATCGCCACATGAACAACTAATGAATGCACTAACCCTTGCTCAGTTACCCTTGTCAAAATAGAGGAATACAAAGAGAGCGTTTCACTGTTGAATCCTTTCAGATTGTCATCATTTTAACCATAGCACCGCAGATGTTTCAGGTTGCGAACATATCAAAAAATGCAATCAGATTGGCAATGCACCACCTGCTGTACTAGAGCGAAAGCTCTTCTATACAATGGCTGCAATGCTCATTCTCCGCGTCGCAACGACCTCAAGCCGCCGAATCACAAGTGAGGCAAGCCTGCATCCCACGCACGACAACTCGCTCAACTAAGGTGGACAGACGCTACCCAATGAGGAGCGACCATTTGCGCTGGCATTCAGAGGAGTCTTTGGCTGATGCCAGCTCATCTAATGTGAACCCTTGGCAATTGCGGCCCTAAAACTTGTTCATTTTTTATTCATTACTTCTAATTATTTAGTTAAACATAACACCAGTATGCTCGCAGAATTTAGGAATGGCTACACCAACGACCGCCCTGGTCCCAAATGTTTGCCATTGCTTTTGTCAGTGTTCTAAACACACGCACGCACACAAACACGCAAGCGCACACACACAGCGCGCGCGCGGCCGACACTGTATCAGAACTATACTGTCGTTGCTGTACTTGAGCGCCATTTACGTTTGCTTGTTAGTAATGTTGTAAAAATAACGTTCTACTCTCTGTTGAAAGTTAATTTCTCGTAACGCAACGTAATGAGTGGCGGCGTCAGGACAAAGACTATCCCATGGGGTACGTACCAGCGACCATTTCGCTGAGTTGATTCGCAACATCTTCCGCGGACATGGCGCGTGCCTCTTCGGTAAGCACGACGAAGGCTCTGGGTGCCTCACCCATCTTTCGGTGTGGCACGCCTGCTACAGCTACCTGGAGAACGAATGGATGGCGCATCAGCAGATCCTCCAGCTCTGCGGGTGCCACCTGCTGGTCCATGCATTTGATCAGATCCTTAACGCGGTCCACGATGTACAGCTGCCCGTGATCGTCGTAGTGACCCACATCGCCTGCGTAGACAGCGTACGCTATCACTCCCGGCTCGTGTACGCTTCTGAGGCTGACTTCCCAAAGTTTCTGCCTTTGAAGTTTTGCTTGTCTTTGGTGAGTCAGCCTTAGATAATGATATGTCGAGTGTTAGGAACACGTTGAGCGATTGGGCTCTTGCTTTCTTTTTAATTTCGTTTTTTTTTATCTTTTATGTGAATACAGGCTGTGATACACCCTGTTGCTCTGTAGAAATGCGAAAGCAACGAAATGCAGGTATATAAGTATGATACATCATATCAAGCACTGGCAAGTAGCCAAGGCAATTCACGGACCTTAAGGTGAGGGCTCCGCTTAACTAATTTTGTGCAAGGCGTTGTGTGCTCAGTTATTTTTTAAATGACAGGCCACAAAGATGTTTCATTCGCAAATAATCTGTGGCAATACCTAAAGAAAACTTCTGTAGTTTTATTTTCTTAGGTAATATTACATAAAGGACAGTTGTCCCTGCTTCCTGGTAAGATTATTGTACAGCAAACACCCATAACAAGTATCCTCGTGACTGTTGTGGCATCCCCATGGTTACACTTCAAGTAAACATTATGTACAACACTAAAACGTTTACCGAGCATGGGCTGCCAATGTGAAATTCTGCTGTCTTACTGTACCGTGCTTCTAAACTATAGCGGGTATCTGGGTAGGTCACACTGACTACTACAGACTGTAAATTACATGTAAACGTTTCTACAGAAATCTGTCTGGCTGGGTAGAATATTTGAAAGGTTGAAATGGGCCTAGTCAAGTTTGTAGAGAGCGCAACGTTTCGCAACCGATAAGGCCCCTTCCTCAGGGGGTGACTTCATGGAAACATCTCCCCGTCTCGCGACTCCGGCTTTCCCTTTCTCTCACGTTTTGGAGGCTGTGAACGTATACGGACGGCATTTTTCCGAGGGACCAGTTCACATTTGCAAGTATGTTGTAAATGTAGAAGGAATCGGGCAAGAGCCCCTTTCAGATTCCTCTCTGCTTTGAAACAAAAGCGCCGTTGAAGTCGAATGTGTGGTCATGGTTCTTGCACAGCTCTGCAAGAACGCTCCGCTGCACATCCATCATCCTGACGTCGTTATGTAGGCGTATTCTTTCTGGAAAACACTCGTTCTCACCTATGTCCCGAGAGATCACCGTACTTAGAAACAGAACACTCAGTATAGGTCCACAGCCTCCGAAACGTGGAGGAAAGGGAAAGCCTGAGTCATGGTCATGGGAAAGCTGAGTCATGGGAAAGCCTGAGTCAAAGGGAATTGTACTATTGTACAATTCCCTTTTTTACTCTTATTTAAACTATTGCCACTTAGTCTGGGGCACGACTACTCCTGGCTGTCTTCAGCGTATCTACATTCTGCAAAAGAGATTCCTTCGTCATGTTCATAATGTACCTTGGCACTCGCCCAGTGCAGATCTCTTTTTGCAAAGTAATGTAATAAAGATCGAGAACTTGTACAAATTCCGTTTGAGTGTTAGGTTTCAACTCGAAACTCTAAAAAATATAAACCATCTACGATACCTTGCTGATTTGCATGCACGAAAATGACATTTATGACAAGGCATGGAGAGTCTTGGGTTGTGCCGACACCCAGAATAAACTTAGGTCGACAACGCCTGCAATTTACTCTTCCTTCCCTTCTAAATTCATATTTACATAGTGGTTTTGATCTCTTCAGTTCGTCAAAGAATACTTTGCGTGCCATGTACGTTAATATGTAAACTTAGTTTTTTTTTTTTTTTTTTCATATCTCTGTGCTTAATGTGAATATTATTTATACTCTATTTTTTAGAGTCTCTTTTGTATTTGTCGATTATTGTTTATTTGCCATTACACTATGTTAATACTGTTGTTTAATGAACATTGCTGTGAAGCTGCTGCTAAGCAAAAGGGTGTCGCGGCTTTGTCAAGCTGTCTCTGACAGCTTTTTCTGCGCCTCCACTGTCTGTACCCCTACAAGGCAGAAAATAAAGAATTTGAATGGTGAAAAAATTGAGACGGGAAGGTGCTTTCATGACCACCGCAGTCAGCCCCTGAGGAAGTGAATGAATCGGTACCGAAACATCAGGCTCTCAACAAACTTGGCTGGAGCTATTTCAACCTCCCAAGGCTGGAACATCTCTTTGGAGAATATATTTCTCAGATAAAACGGCAATATAGCTTTTTTAAAAATTTTGTGCTCCCCAAATTTTCGGGAGCGGAATTAATGTACATTATGCTTACACTTTCCCTTCTTTAGTAATTCTACATTTTTGTGTCACCTGTGGCTTACTCATATTGTTATACATCTCGCACTAATTTTCAGGTGCTCTGTCTCAGCATATACCGTTTTGATGACACTCTACAGCCTTCCAAGAAAGCATAATCAAACTTATAAAGCAGTGGCGTAGCCAGAGGGGGAGCCTCAGACTCCCCCCCCCCGCTCCCCCAATTCTTCGTGCACTCCCCCCTTACCCACTTTTTTTTCATCACTTCTCGGTGACATGATTTAAAAACTAAGTGGTCATACTATCACACTTTCATTCCTTGGCACCTTTACAGTTAATAATGCCTGGTGTTTGTCAAGGCTTTGGCACTGTCACATTTTGAGCAGTAATCTCTACCGCGAGCACTTTAAGTTGGCTCAGCTACGAGATTAATGCCGCAGCGGTTGACATACTTTTACCCGCTGGAACAGATCTCACAGGAGTCGATCACAACAATAGTTTTCATTAGAAAGAGGCTCGTTTTAATGGTAAAATCCCGACAGAGTTCCAAGGTCTGATAGGTCACGTTCAAGCATATTACCGTGCAACTCTTCGAACGTGTTCTAAGATATACTCAAGCCAAAGACTAACATTTCTAATAAACTTCCGCATGTTCTGCTAACATCTGAACACACACACCCAAAAACACACACGCGAACGCACGCGCGATATTCAGCTCATCCACTGAACTTCGTTTGCATAGAAGCGTACAATATATAGAAGCGCATCTTCACTATGCCCTAACAGCGAAAGGCTCTCCGAAGTGTTTCCTAGGAACGAAGGTGCAACACAAACAAACCTGCGAGCCCATCACAGCTCTAGAAAGGCGTATCAAAATACTCATCATGTAACTTAAGCTGATAAATAAAAAGATGGTAGTCATAAACCTAAAAATGCGCAATGAGAAATGCAGTGTGGGCAGCTGCAGTGAGAACAAGTTTTATTGTTCAGGAGTGTGGCAAACAGCGCAAGAATAAGGAACATAAAGCTGAAAAAGCATGTGACAAATAAAGATAATATATAGATTCGCTTCATCTCTTCGTCCTGTTACATTGACATGACTAAAAGGGCACACCAAGCTATTCCTGCAACTACCAACATAACGCACCACAAGAAATGGAAAAAATGAAGAAACATGGGTGGATATTTTATCATGTAAAGTTAAGAACACTATATACAGTAACCATAATTTTTACAAGAAATGAAGTAAACTCTGTGCAAGCAATGCTTTACGCAGTACACAGATACATGACAAAGCGGAATACTGTTTATTATCTTTTTCAATTGACGCGAAGGTTATCCTGTGCATGACATGTCGTACTATATGCCACATATGTTACCCAAATTTTCAAGAATTCTTACACGCAAACATGGGTTGTTGCCTTGCCTTTCCCATATTTTGTATCCGCGAAACACGTCTGCAAGTGAAAGGTGCCACCGAAAAGGAAGGAGGAGACAACGGGATAGAACAGAATCACTCTGCCACGGTGTGAAAGTGATTTTCAGCAGTATATATATATATATATATATATATATATATATATATATATATATATATATATATATATATATAGAACTTGCGCCTCTACAGCTAGACGAAAAGTAGCACATAGTAATTTTACCAAAACCGTCATTTTTACTACCCGCCATAGTGGTCTTGTTATGGTGCTCCAATGCTGACCCGCTGGTCGTGGAATCAAATCCCTGTCGTATTTTTTATGTCGGCGAAAACACTCAAGGCCCGTGCACTTCACTTTAATTTACGCGCCCGTTAAAGACCCAAAGTGGTAAAACTTCCGGAGCGCCTCACTACGACGTCTTTAATAATCATCTTTTTGCCCACAGAAGATCATAAATATGGTGGAGATAATTTTTTTTGTTTGATTCCTTTTCTGTTTGCGCTGATGATTCCATATTTTCAGTAATTGACTCACCTTTTAATGCTTCTAGAAAATTCGTTGCGTATAGAACAGTCATCTTGTAGTCACACTCGCTATGGCTTCTGAAATTTTCGAGTGCGTTCTTCAGCATGTGAACGTAGAAAGAACCAAAGCACCGAGAACTTGGTGGGTCCACTTGCCTGAACTTTCTTCTCCAAAAAGCACAAATGTGTTGCATGAAGCTCCCTCTTGAAATTTGGAATATACCAACCAGAAGAACATTTCTAGTCAGAGGGGTTAAAACTTCAGTTAGCGCTTACTAGCTGAGGAAAACGTGTAGTTAGCGCCTCGTTTCTATGGCGTCACTAGCGAACGTCGTCTAGTCTCCTCGTTCTGCAACTTTTGGCGTCTTGGCTCGTTAAACACGTAATAACCAATGTCATTATCAGGAATCCCCGTTTCCCTGCATGTATCATGCTCCCATCGGTTTTCAGGTGTTCTTTCGGCACACGGGTCATATTCAGGCCACGAGAACTAAAGCTGGGGACCCTTTCTTCGGCTGCTGTAGCCTTTTCGCCAGTTGTCGAATGTACGCTAAGAGCATCGTCACCTTTCAAGAAATAATCATCAAGCGTTGCCTTACGGCGTTTCGGCGCGGTCATCGTGTCTCATAAAAGGGCGCTGATTGACACAGAACACGAAGAACCCAGCAATACGGGTAGGCAGCGTATATCAATGAGGTGACTTCGTAATGCAAGAAGCAATGCACCCAGCAACGTTCGGCAGGGACACTGAATGCGAGAAACGAAATCTTTAGCGACGATACATGTCGGCTAGTAAAGTTTTGCCTTAAA